AAATCTGTCTGAACCAAGATAATCCTTATGTTCTCAGCAGTCTGGGTATCTCTTCCCTGTTTTTGACACCCTCTCCTCTCCAGAGAATTCTCAATTCATCTTCCTTAACATGGAGAGGGACTCTACCCAGAATCCTCAGCTTTACCATCAACCATGCCTCAAGGCTCTAGGTCCTTTCCTGCCAACTCAAGCCCACATTGATGTCTTCCTCTGCTAACAACTTTTGTCTTTGTTGGCAGCACCATACAATTAGCACATATTTTAAAAATATCCTATTACGGGGGCGCCTGCATGGCTCAGTCGGTTAAGCGGCTGCCTTCGGCTCAGGTCATGATCCCAGGGTCCTGGGATCGAGTCCCGCATTGGGCTCCTTGCTCAGCAGAGAGCCTGCTTCTCCCTCTGCCTGCCTGCCACCCCCCTGCTTATGCTCTCTCTCTCACTCTGTGTCATATAAATAAATAAAATCTTTAAAAAAAAATATCCTATTACCTAGTTATCTAAAATACATAATTTAACACATTCTTCCAATCATGCCTTTCTCCCCAGGCTTTAAGGGTGTATCAAACACTTTTTAGACTTCATCTCATATCCTCTCAGCCCAACTTCTATTCCAACTTTTGCTGCAACAACCAGCTGTGCTCAGGAATAACCAGACAGGGTCTTGTCTCAGGTGGATCATAAATTTATTACACTCTCTAACCTGAGCTTCTCTGATAACCTGACTGGATATCTGCAGGAATCTGCTTATCTCTCACACATATGCATTCAAAGGGATTGACATCCTTTGAAGAAATCCTTGACTAATAAGGATGGAAACTGGTAGGTAGAGCTGCTCTCTTCTGCCCTTGTGTAGACAATTATGAGACACATTCTAAATGGCCCACAGTGATGACCGGCCTGATAATGTCTGTTTTTATAGCTTTCTCTACAAGGATGTTTGGGGAAGAGGCATATGGATGGACTTAGGAGGAAAGATGTGATGACTGAGGATTATTGATTCTCATGTTAATGTCCATGAGCATCCTTCATAGTGAATCAAGAGAACATCAACAACATCAACAACCAAGTAGAGAGGATGATCTGTCTTCTGGATGTCAATGAGCCTCTCTCCATGCCCACTCCAGTACTGTGCAGTGGGTTCATGAATGACATGGCCATAATGACAGGGATAGAGATGAAGTGTGGACACAACAGTATCAACTCTCTTTCACCAAGACTAATATAGTTCCTGCCATGGCTGAATATCCATCCTGTCAGCAGCACACACTGGCACAGATAAAGCCCCATCCTCAAGGAGATTAGTCAATTACTTGGCAAGCTGATTACATCAGACCCAATTCCATTACTGGAATTGGCACCTCCTTTGGACATGGCTTTGCTTCCCTTAACCACAGTGCTGTGGCCAATACTACTACCCGAGGACTTAGAGAATGCCTTCTTTGCCGGTATGGGATCCCACCACAACATTGCCTCAGACGAAGGGACCCATTTGATAGTAAAAGAGAGGGTGACAATGGACACATGACTATGAGACTGACTGGTCTTGCAATATACTTGATCGTCTAGAGATAGCCAGCTAGTAGAATAATGGAATGGCCTATTAAAACTTCATTCAAGGTGCTAGCTTGAGCATAATACCCTATAGGGTTGGACTGCATCTTCCAGCATGCCGTATATACAGAACCAATGGTGCTGATTCTCTAAAGCTAGAATATATGGGTCCAGGAATCAGTGGGTAGAAATCAGATTGGTTCTTTTCACTATCACTCTGAATGATGCACTTGTGAAATTTTATTAAGGACAACTGACTTGGTTACTATGAGAAACTAGGGTTCCTACTACACAATTGAGGTAGTAGGGCAGAAAAGAATATGATCTAGGACCCAGGGACTCAGTGAGCCATCTTTTGGAGGTAACGCCATACCTGATAACTGGAATTGGAACTGCAGCCACCTCAGTCCAAAAGGGCGAAAGCAACTCAGACCCCTTGGGGATGCAGATCTAAGTCACCCCACCTAGAAAGCAACCTAGACCAGCTGAAGTGTGGGCAAAGGGTGAGGGAAATCTATAATGAGTAGAAGATGAAGATGATAAATATCAATTACAGTCTTGGGACCAGTTGAAGTAGTGGGGATTGGAGCTCATTACATTAACCTTCCCTACCCCCCCCTTTTAAGTAAGCTCTATGCCCAACATGGGGCCTGAACTCACGACCCCGAGATCAAGAGTTGCATGCTCCACTGACTGAGCCAGCCAGGCTTCCTCTGTCAAGTCTTGAAGGCTCTGTGAAGAAAAATAACACACAATAGGGCATAGAGAAGAGCAGGGTGGGGTTATTATTTTAAAAAGGATGGTCAGGGAAGCTTTCTCTGATTATGTGACATTTGAAAAGAAACTTAAATAAAGTAGAAGAGCAATCCATATGGGTATGTGGGGAAGAATATTCCAGAGAGAGACATTAGCAAGTCCAGAGGTTCTGAAGCAGGAGCACATTTGGTGCATTTGAGGAGTCTGGTATAGCTGAAGGGGAGTGAACAAAGGAGAGAGTAATAAGAGATGTGCTCTGGAAGGTAACTGGAGCCCAGACCATGAAGGGCACTTAAGTGAAGACTTTGGATTTCATTCTGTGTAAAATAGGGAACCATCAGCAAATTCTGAAAAGATGCTAGTGCTCTGTGAATTGGCTGTAGCGAGTCAAGGATGGGTGCAAGGAGACCAGGTAAGGACTATTGCAGTATGGTGTTTAGGATCTCATTTAAGGTGGGCTTAAAGGGGCGCCTGGGTGGCTCAGTAGTTAAGCATCTGCCTTTGGCTCAGGTCATGATCCCAGGGTCCTGGGATCCAGCCCCGCTTGGACTCCTTGCTCAGTTGGGAGTCTGCTTCTCCCTCTCCCACTCCCCCTGCTTGTGTTCCCTCTCTTGATCTGCCTCTCTCTGTCAAATAAATAAATAAAATCTTAAAAAAAAAAAAAGATGGGTTTAAAGATGGATCCCATTTAAGATGGAGTTGCCAAACATTGGGTTTTGGGTAAGATTGTGTTACTGTTCTTCAGGGCTGACTTTAAACCACTCCTAAGCAAAAAAACAACTCTTCTACTTCTTATAAATCTTTTATAATGCATAACACAGCCCAGTGGGTCTAGTGGTAAAGGTTCAGAAAATGCTTATTATTTTGTGATTAAAACATCTGGTCTTTGCTAAGAACTCATAGAAATAACGTCTCTCCATTGAAAAACATAAGTGACACGTGGTTCCCAAGACCAAGTCTATAATTTTAACATAGATCCCCTGACCACATGCCAGAAAGTATGCTCCTCACCACACACAGATCTTTGAATTCTCATAAGAGCCCTGGAAGTTGGGGTTACTCTGTGCAAGTTTACAGACGAAAAAACAGAGATTTGGTGGGGGATTTTAAGTTGCCAGTGGTCATTAGGGAATAAGGGACAGAGCTCTGGCCTTGAATCATGGGCTGATTCTACAGCCCATCCTCAACAATGACAACTCTGAACCACTCAGCATAGAGAACTTTGGGGAACTCCCACGTTCTTGGGTGGCCTAATCTTATTTTTATAACCTTTCAGTTTCTTCTGTTTATGCAAAATAGCTAACATGAACAAGAAGAGCCGATTTTTAAGTTTCATTTGCCTGGAAGAAAATAATTAGGGCAGTGATTCTATTTGTTTATTAAGATCCCCTAAGTTAGAATGATTCTTTTGCTCTTGGAAATCATTTGCTCCAATGACAAGAGTGGGTGGGCATTTCATTCCAGCTCCTTTTATGATGTCTGTTGCAGTTATCCTGCAGTGTGACTTTTTTTCTCAGAAAGCCATAGTACTGCCTTATTTCTACTTAAAAAAAAAAAATCATTAGTGTAGTTGCATTGCAGAAGAAGGGAAAAAACAGATGTGTGATCTGCCCATGAAATAGAGTAGTTGCCCCACATGAGCTCAGCCTTTTTCATGTGCTAGCTGTGAGCCTGTCCTCATGCTGGGGTGGAGAAGCTCATTACTGCTCAGAGTAACCAAGAAACAGGGCTTGGCAAAGGGAAGAGGGAGACCAAAGGCCCAGAGTGCTCCCACCAAATTGGATCCTGGAAAGTCTGACACTGGGGCATCTACTACAGTTGCTCAGCAGCCACTTGCTTTTTATGACGGAACAGGAGGAATAAAGGTCATTCTAGTGGACTAGAGCATCGCCCAGTATTTGCCAGTGTATAAAAGTGTGGCCATGTGGTATAATGGGTGCAAAAAGTAGCAGATACTCATTTGTCCAGCCAGTAAGTACCCGGTTTTGATGTTTTGTTGAATCTGCAGCTCTCACAGAAGCAAAATGAAGTGTCTGAAACTCAGAAAATCTTCCAAGGCTTAGACACCACACTTCTTACTCCTCCTTGCCACTTCTATCTTCTATCTTCTGGGCTGCCCTCCCGCTTTGCGCTGGTGAACTTCTGCCACTGGACTCGGCGTGCCCCTCCTAAATGGCATTTTAGCATGGATGTCCCCAGGTGCCTAGCAGCCTTGCCTAGATTAACGTGTCAGTGGCATATGGCGCAAATGGCCTGTCGTTCAGCCCCAGAATCAGTTTAAAATATCTTCCAGGCTGCTGGCTTCTTTGGCATGATGCCTGTGGCCCGGTATTTGAGGAAGGATAGCAACATTGTCTGAAGATTATGTAGAGTGGATTTTCTTGTGTAAGAGCCAGAATCTGACTTCCTGCCTTTCTCCATTTTTCTCTGTCTCTTTTTCCCTGGTAGCTAAACTAAAGAAATAAGCATACGTTCTGAGGTAGAGTACCTAGGACAAAAAATAATTCTGAGAAAAGTTTTTGTGTGTGTGCCCGTTCCTTTTTTGGGCCCCCCATCTTGCTCTTCTTCCATAAAGAGAAGTACCTAGCTTTTCAAACACTGTTACATTTGGTCCTCTTAAAAGACCTCTGTGGAGGTATTTGATCCATTTTGCAGACAAGAAAACTGAGGCCGAGAGAGATTTTTTTTTTTTTTTTAATGCTGCTAAAACACACTACCTGGAAGTGGCAGAATAGCAGTTCAGACCCAGGTCTGTTTACCCCACAGTCCAAATTCTTTCCACTCTAAGTCCACACACAGACCATTGTCTGAACTGATATTGTGCCCGCATCCAAGCATCTCTGGGGAGGGGGAGATTTTTTACTGCAGTTCAATGGGCAGAGCTCACAGTGGTCAGCGTCTCCATAGGCGTTGTCAGCAAGAGCTCCGGGATTCTTCTCGTACAATCTCCTCATCATGCACTTCTCTCAGTGTGTTTAATGGTGGGTCATTGTTACTGTTTAGTTGCCTGATGGGTTTCTCACTCCTAAATCCAAGTGATGAAGCAGGTCCTGCTGTCCTTGGGATTATCCCCTCTTGATGAGTGATGACCTCAGGATTGGAGACAGCTGACCTGCAGGCAGAGAGAGGGGGATGTCAAAGGTGCCTCCAGCTCAATTTGGATTGATGAACCGGAATAATTCTGGCAGCAGGGCTCATGGAATCGGCCTCAACCAGCAATCTTTCTCAATTTTTGTGTTTGAGTGGAGTGTTTAGGCAATTTTTCACTTACACCCTCTCTATTACAGGTATCTGAAAAACACTATCACCTGTATTAATTGTTACCACAGCACCAAACAATTATCACTGAATGGAACTGCATTTGCTGGCTACTCTTTCCTGCCTGTATGCTCTGCTCTGCAAGAATCTTTCACATAAAATGCCTCTCAGTTCGTTATTCTGTCATCAAAATGCTATACCTGCTTCGAGGCCCTGCTCAAACATCTCTTCCAAAAAACCTCCTCCAAATCTGTCTATCCAAATAAATTATGGAATAATTATTATTACTCCAAATTCCTTACAATGATGATAATAATAATGGTATTTCTTTAAAGCTGTCTAGTTGTCTGGTTTTCTTAAATAAGTAATATCATTGGCCCAACATTTAAATGTATACATTGTACAAATACTCAAAGTGAAAAGCTACTCCCCAGTTCCTGAGCCTTCTAGAGATATTTTAATATATACATGTGCTTTTTAAAAAAAATCCATCAATAATATATGAGAATAATTGTTAACCTATGTTAGAGTTATGTAAGAGATACTATGCTAAGGACTTTATGTGAACTACTTCACTGAGTCCCCCCACACACAACTTTATGAGACGGGGACTCATGTTATGCATATTTACAAATGAGGAAAGGGAGGCTCAGAAAAGTTAAGTAACTAGCCCCTGATCACACAGTTATAACACGGCAGAACTGGAGTTTGACCTCGGGCTGTCTGACTGCAGAGCCAAGCTCTTCACCACCATGCTACAGGCCTTAAAACCACCCTCTTGTCATCTCATATATGTATATCTGGCTTTCCAGCTGGATTAAAGGACACTTAGGAAGAAAGGAAGCTGTGCAGTACAGCTGATGGAAAGTGTGCTTGACAAGCAAATTCTGACCATGGGACTCACCAGCTGTGTGACACAGTAAGTTTTCAAAATTCTCTGAACCACTGTTTCATTAGCGGTAAAGTGGGAATAATGCTAACCTCAGAGAAAGATGGAAGTGTGCTGAGGATTAGGGGAAATAAAGAATGTAAAGCTACTTGGCACATAAATGGCATTCGGAAATGGTAGGTACTTTATCAAGAGCCGTGTCTTTTTTAAAGATCCCTTTGCTGGCTTCCACTGTCCTGTGCAGAGCCGGGAGGAAATGCCCACGTGATGTTTGGCATAATACATACAGATCTAGCCTTTGGGATGGCAGGAAAATACCACAAGAAGTCCCAGAAAGTAAATGCAAGATGAGAGGCTCTTGTACCTAATGCCAATGGGACTAGTTCAAAGTGAACGGATGGTCATTTGTTGGCTATTCAAAGAAATGTATGGAGTAGTAATGGAAGACTGGCCTAAAGGTTATATGCATTATAAACCTCCTCTGAGGTTAGTAAGGAGAAATGGAGTGTGGAGGACAAGAAAGACAAGAAATACTCAGGGACTTTGCCTGGAACATTCTTCCCCCAGATAACTTCATGGTAACTCTTTTAGTTCCTTCCAGCCCCCACCTCCACTTTATTTTTAATTTTTTCCGTAACACTTTTCACCATCTATCATATGATATAATTATCCTGTTTATTGCATTTGTTTCTCATTGTCAGACTCCTCCAGAATGTAAGTTCCTGAGGGCGGGGGTCTTTGTTTTCTTCACTGATGTATCCTAAGCACTCACAATAGTGCCTGGTACCAATAAATTTCTGTTGGAGGAATATGTTTTTCAGATAAGGAAACTGAGGTTCAGTGACTTGGCTTGGATAAGTTTGCTAGTTAACAGCAGAGTCAAATCTAGAACTCTGTTTTTCTGCCTCCCAAGCCAGCTGTCTTTCTACTAAATCATTTTCCAGTATAGAGGAGTGTATGTCTAGGATTAAGGAATGATTTGGCTGTTGAGAAATCCAGACAAAACTGGAAATGAGTGCATATAGACAAAATAACTGAACCATAAAAGTGACAGCAGGAAAAAAATCATAGATGTGGGTGGTTGTGTTGATTTTTTTCAAAATTTTAAGTACCTGAGATTCTGCTGTCAGTTTATCTAGTGAAATAAGATTCATGATCAATGTGTGGAGACGGAAATTTCAGACCTCATTATACACAAACTGAAGATTATTCCTTTGCTGTCACTGCAGCATTTGACACGCCAGTGAAAACAAAAGGAAATCTGTCTCAGACGCCCCTTTTAGCTTTGACAGATGTGGAAACGCGTGAGTTTGGGACGTTAATTTTTGGTTGGATGTTAACTGCGAGCATGTCCGGAGATGCCACCCCCTAGCTTCCACCTAGCTGAAGCCCAAGTGACGCAATGAATTTCAGCCCAGGACACCGTCCTCCATCCCCACTTCCTTCTCTTATCTCAGAAACAAAGGCAGTCTCTGCCTTTTCCCAGGCTAATCTTCCACCTGAGCTTTTGGTCACGTCCCCTCCTCCTGTTACTTATTCCCTTTCTTGAATCTCAAACCTGTCTTTTCCCCTACAATGGGTGGATATATTCAAATCTCCCCCATGCCAAGGCAAGATAATGAAAACCTCCCAATAATCTCTCAAAATCAATTAGCTGTTGATGTGTAACAAAGTGCCCCGAAACAATGGCTTGAAGCAACAAGCATTTTTATTCCTCACAGGTTAGTGAGTCACCTGGGCGGTTCTGCTGAGCTGAGCCAGGCTCCCCCGCCTTGGGCTGGGCCTGAATACTGACTGCACATTCTCATGAATTATGCGGTCAGCTGGCGGGTCGGCTGGGGCGGGGCGGTCAAGGATGATCTCATTCACGTGCCTGGCAATCAGTGGGTCATTAGTTATGGTGGAGTGGGTGGATAGGCCACCGATCACTTACCCAGCAAGTGAACACAGGCTTGTCCTCATGGTAGCCAGGTGGGATTTCGAGCGAGACAGAGAGGGCAGCAGTACACAAGGCCTTCGGAACTGGTACACTATCACTTCCACTTCACTGTATTGGTAAAAGCAAGTCGCACGGCCAGCCCAGGAACAAGGAAATGGACCCTACTTCTTGATGGCAGGAGCTGCAGAGTCGCATAGCAAAGGGTGTGGAGTCAGGGAGGGATGAGGCAGTAAGTCAGTTTTGCAATCAGTGGGCTTTATCTCTCTTCATCCTTAAGCTTCTGCTCAGATGTCTCTTTTCCTTGACATCCAAACTTCTAGAGAGGGTAGCTGTCTCTTGCTCTGCCTACTTTCTTACCAACCAGTCACTCCTCACCCAAATGACCTCATCTTATTATTTTTTTATTTGAGAGAGAGAAAGAGTGAGAGAGAGAGCATGAGCAGGGTGAGGGGCAGGGAGAGAAGCAGACTCCCGGCTGAGCAGGGAGCCTAATGCGAGGCTCCATCCCAAGACCCCGGGATCATGACCTGAGCCGAAGGCAGATGCACCTGAGCCACCCAGGTGCCCAATGACCTCATCTTACTACCACTACTCCATTTTGATGCAACTGCTCTCTTTAAAGACAACAATGCCTCAAATACCAAATATTATGAACTACTTTCAGCTTTCATCTTATTTAACCCCAATGTACAATTTGATCCATATGGGTCATTCCCTCTTGCTTAAAACTCTCCTCCCTTACCTTCTACGACTCACTCTCTTCTGGCTCTCTTTCTCCCCTTCTGACCATTCCTTCTCAGATGCTTTGGCGGGCTTATGTTCCTCCTCTGGCCAGTCTTAGTGTTTCCCATGTTTCTGTTGTCTTACTTTTCCTTTCCTGCCTGCCTTCCCACCTTTCTCTCCCTTCTCATGTTAAATTCTCTGGAATCTAATCTAGTCAAGAGTGGATGTTACCTACACGCATCTTTATTCTAACTCATCTGTTGACCTCCAGGAATAAACTGCCAATGCCCACTGGAAGTTGCTATGGGCTCCTCAGATGCAAAGTGTGTCTAAAACTGAGCTTAATATCTTTCTTTCAAAAAACGTGATCCTGTCTTCACTTTCTCTATTAACAGTTTTGCAACTCTTTAGATTCACTGAGTTAGAAACTAAGGACTGTCCTTAACTCTTTCTGCCCTGGGCTCCCAACAACTCAGGATACTAAATCCTATCAATTCTACCTCCCAAGTATCCCTTCAGCCTCACCCCCTCCTCCCTGCTGCTCCCTGAGTTCAGGCTCTCATCCTCAATTGCCCACCTAATGCTCGAGCCTGTTACCAGCTCCCCCAACCCCTTTTTGCAGCTAGAGATCTTTGTGAAACACAAATCAAACTGTGTTACTCCTTTGCCTCATACACTGCCACTGGCTTATTTCTGCCAAAATCTGAACTTTGCATCAGATGGCAATCGTCATCTGCCAAAAAAAAAAAAAAAATGTACTCCATGTCATTTAAGAAAAAGAAATGTAGGGGCGCCTGGGTGGCTTGGTCAGGTGAGTGTCTGCCTTCGGCTCAGGTCATGATCCCAGAGTCCTGGGATGGAGCCCTGCATCCAGTGGGCTCCCTGCTCGGCGGGGAGCCTGCTTCTCCCTCTCCCACTCCCCCTGCTTGTACTCTCTCTCTCTGTCTCAAAGAAATAAAACCTTTAAAAAATAAATAAATAGTAAAAAGAAATGTATTATAAAGAAACAGGGATGGACTTTGGGTGATTATGATGTGTCCAGGTAAGTTCACCCTTGGTAAAAAATGTACCATGTGATGAGCGGTGTTGGGAGATAATAATGGGAGGGGCTTCGCTTGTGCGGGGACAGGGACTATACAGGAAATCTCTGCACCTTCCATTTAGTTTTGTTGTAGACCTAAAACTGCTCTAATAAAGTATTTTTTTAAAAAAGAAGAAGGAATCCTAAAGAAAGGAAGGAGAGAAGAAGGAAGGGAGGGAGGCGTGGACTTCCACGAAGGAAGGATAGCCAGGCAGCAGGGTAGTGGCTTGGGATAATGTCCCATGTCTGCTGGCTCCTCTCTTGCTGCCTTGTGTATCTCATCTCTGCTTCATGCTGTGACTTCGCCCTGTTCGTTCTCCTACCCTCTCCTCACCACCCCCTACATGTTCATCAAGCACATGGCCCCCCACAGGCATTCTAATCCAAGTCTACCTAACTTTCATATCTCTTAGAATAAGTTACTGAGGGGCGCCTGGGTGGCTCAGTTGGTTAAGTGACTGCCTTCGGCTCAGGTCATGATCCTGGAGTCCCTGGATCGAGTCCCGCATCGGGCTCCCTGCTCGGCGGGGAGCCTGCTTCTCCCTCTGACCCTCCCCCCTCTCATGTGCTCTCTCTCTCTCTCATTCTCTCTGTCTCAAATAAATAAATAAAATCTTTAAAAAAAAAAAAAAAAGAAAAAGTTACTGAGAAAGGAAATCTGATTGGCTTAGCTCATGGGTCAAGTAAGGTCATGTGGACAAAACAGGCCAGCCTGAGGTTCACATCTTCAGTAGGATCTGTAAAGAGGAATGTTCTCAAAGAAGACAGAGTGCGATGAGCAGGTAACTTAGACAGGTCCACTATATTCCTTAATACAGCATGGTATTTTTCTATCAACTTTGATCCTTCTCCCACGGCAATGCATTATCCACTCCAACCACATAGAATTATTTCTCATTCCCTGAACACACGCTCTTTTTCATCTGCTATTCCCAACAGCTGCCATATTCTTCTCCTCCTTAACTTCCTGGAAATCTCTTTATTCTTTTTTTTTTTTTTAAAGATTTTATTTATTTATTTGACAGAACGAGACAGCAGGAGAGCACAAGCAGTGGAAGCAGTAGAGGGAGAGGGAGAAGCAGGTCCCCCGCCGAGCAGGGAGCCCAATGTGATGCGGAGCTCGATCCCAGGACCCTGGGATCATGACCTGAGCCTAAGGCAGTTGCTTAACCAACTGAGCCACCCAGGTGCCCTGTAATCTCTTTATTCTTTAATGGCCAGTTCAAATGTCACCTCCTCAATAAAGCCCACCCTTGCTCCTGTTAGTTGCTCTCTTCTCTGGGAATGCTTAGCACCTTGCACATAGCTTTATTAGACTATAGATCACACCAAACTGAAATTGTTTGCCCCCTTTGTTAGATTATGGGCTTTTTAAAAAAAATTGGCAGGCACTATTCCCAGCAGCTGGCACAGCATTGGGCTCATACATAGAGATCCAAAAAGCTTGCTGAATGGATGAAGACGTGAATGACCAAGGTCTCTCCACCAGTGGTTCTCAAAGTGTGCTCCTGAATCAGGAGCATCAGCATCATCAGAGAACTTGTTACAAATACAAATTATTGGGCCGCACCACAGACCTACTAAATTAAAAACTCTGAAAGTAAGTGTATTGATAGGCAGAATATTGGTCCTACCCAAAGCTATACATGCTTTAATCCTGAAAACTGTTAATATCTTACCTTACAAGGCAAGGGGGAATTAAGATTACAGATGGAATTAAGATTGCTAGTTAGCTCACTTCAACATAGATTATTCTGGTTTATCCAGGTAGGCCCAATGCAGTCACAAGGATCCTTAAATGGGGAGACAGAAAAGTCAGAACCAGAGAGATGGCATCATAAAAATGACTTGACCAGCCATTGTTAGCTTTGAAGATGAAAGGGGGATACTAACCAAGGAATATGGGCAACCTCTAGAAGCTGGAAAAGGCAAGAAAACAGATTCACCTCAAGAGCCTCCAGAAAGGAACTCAGGCCTTAGTGTTTAGCAAGCCCTTCAGGTGAGTCTGCGGTTTCCTCCCACTATGCACTCCAGCGCCTGGCACTAAGCCTGCTACAAACTCCTTCTTTCTTATATTTGCTTCTGTGACTGTCTCTGTACCGTTTACCACTGCATCCTAGCTCCCAGCCCAGCACTGGCACTCAACAGCTACAGTGGCTTACACTCACTGAGGGTGTCTTTGTGTAAAGTGCTTACATGACTTAACTCACTTAGCCCTTCTAATACCCCATGGAGTAGGTAATACTAACATCCCATATTTTATACATGAGTAAACTGAGGCAAGGAGAACAAAAAGCAACTTGCCCAAGGTCCCCCAGCTAATAAGTGGCAGAGCCAGGATTTAAAATCACTCTCATTCCAGAGTCCATGCTCGAACCCTATGCTGTGTGGTTATAGGCAGGGTACAGTATATAACTGATGGGTGAGTGAATTAATAAATAAATGAATATGAAACAATAAGTCTCACCTGAGGACTTTAGAAGGATGTTTGAGAAGCAGTAGCAGAATTCTAAGACAATGTCATCCCACTGCTGATTCAGTGGAGGGGAGAAGACACATGCCCCACTTGTGTGTATGTAGGACCGAGCACCTGGAAAGGCAACTGGGGTGGCAGGGAAGGCTGGACTGGCTAAAGATGGCAGAGGATAAGACTGGAGAGGGTACACGTTGGGTAGGGATGGTGGCTCTCAGGAATGAGGCAGGTGGGAGTTGAAAGCTAACAGAAGGGGCAGGGCTGGACCTGGCTTTTCACCACTTTATCACCAGCATCTAGCCTATGTTGGACTCAGAGCCCCAGAGCTCAAATCAGCAACATATATTTGTTGAATGAAAAGGATTTTTAAAAAAAGATTCTTATTTATTTATTTGAGACAGAGAGAGAGAAAGTGAGGGCATGAGCAGGGGGGAGGGGCAGAGGAAGAAGGAGACTCCCTGCTGAGCCGGGAGCCTGACGTGGGGCTCCATCCCAGGACCCCGGGATCATGACCTGAGCTGAAGGCAGACACTTAACTGACTGAGCCACCCTGGTGCCCCTGAATGAAAGAGATTTTTAGTGTGAAATTGTTCTAGGATCTTCAGGCTTTTGTTTCAAGGTGTTCAAGGAAGATTTCTTATTAGATTCACCAGAACTCTCAGCTGTGACCCGAATAATACGAGGGGAAAGGCTGAACCAAAATTCGATGAACTGGAGGAAGTGGAGACAGGGAAGTAGAGAAGTACACTGACCACTGGTCAGTGGTCAAGACCTGGTGTCCAAGGAGTGTGGCCATCCCCAGTCAGGGACCTGTAGGCCTTGCTGAAGAGGGGGATTCCAGCATTTATTCAGTGCCCACTGTGGCAGGCATGGAGGCAAAAGCATGGTGCTTTCCTCCTGGAGCCCACTAAAGTAAAGTGTCCCCATAGTGGGCAGAGCCCAGGAAAAGGAAACCAAGGGAAGCAGGTCATTTTAATTTCATTTTGCTTTAGTATCAGTTTCATTTTCAAGATAAGGTCCTAGTCCTTTTTTTTTTTTTAACTACAGTGAAATTTGGGAAACCCATTTTAAGTGGATTTACCTTTAGTGACTTTTTCCAGTATCAAATTTTCTGCATTACTTTGCAGGGAGCCCTGCTTCTGGCCCCACTGCTCTATGTACTACAGTGGGTAGAGAGCTCAGCCGGCCCCACAGCCAGGACGCTGGGGAAGGCAGTAGAGAAGTGGGTCCAAGTTACCTGCAACACACCTAGAACTCAGTGTTGCATGGGTCCAGAAGAGTGTCGTGGGAAGAGGACAGCATTTGGTGCTAGATGGTCCTAGGTTTTAAATCCCACTCAATAGCTGTGTGATATTGGGCAAGTTGCTCAACTTTTCTTAGTTTCCTCAACTGTATTGGTGGGCTACTCATCTTACCATACTGGGCTGTTGAAAGACTTATAGATGATCATCTCTCTCCAGTAACCACCAATGTTAGTTTCCAACTGAGGATGTCACTCCTACACTGAGACTCACTTTCTATTTATGTGAAAGGATTATTTTTAAAAGTCATAAAAAACTGAAATGAGAAGAAGCAATGCTCAAGTCTCTGTTTCACTCCTCTCTTTCTTCCTTAGATCCTTTATCCTCTTCGTATTCTCACTTCCCACCCCCTAGATGTGTCACCTTCCAAAGCACAGAACCTGAATATAATCTAGAGGTTTTATACCACTAATAATGTTTTGGCTTTTTCTATGTAAAGTAGAATGCTGGGTAGCTGAAGTTCAGGGAGGTTAAGTTACCTGGCCTAGGTCACACAGCTAGCAAGTGTAAGAGCCAAGATTGAAAGCCAGATCACTCTGACCTTAAAGCTAGAGCTCTTTCCTTAGCAGACTATCTCCTCTCCAGCGGCAACAATTTCTCAAAGCAGGTCTGGTTCCCAGAGTAACCCAGGACTTGCTCCAGGGATAGAAACAGAGCATCCTTTCCTACCAAATATAGGACACTAAAAATTCACATCAGGAGTGGCTCAAGCATGGAGCATCATCATCCCAGAAGGTAAAGAGCACTGCAGTGGAGCTTTGTAGACAGGCCAGGTTAGAATCCACTTACTAGCTGGATGATTTTGAGCAAGTTACTCAACCTTCCTCTTACTCAATCTTCTGTAAATTGGGAATAAAATGAACATTACCAACTTCACAGGGTTATGTGGGGATCAGGTGGAGATAAGGTTTATAAAGAGCTTAGTACAAGGCACAGCACAAGTCCTCAATATACACCAGTCATAATTCAGCCTACAGGGAGTGCAGGAGCCTCTGCTCCTCACCTGTACCTGGGGGGGACGTGTGCTAGAATATACAACCTGAACAGAAATGCATCTGGAAGAAATACAGGCCAGTGTAATACAACAATCAAGTGAAAAATTCGCATATGCTTACTCTTTTCACTTGAACAGGGAAACTCAGACAATTAATGTTTGGAGAGGAACATGAAGCAAACAGAATGAAGTCAAGCGTTCCCTCATATTAATGTCATGTGACCCCACAGCCGCCAGAGCCATTCTGGTTGTGCTAAGAAGACCATGCCCAGAGTGCCTCATTAAAACTTCACTAACAGTAGCTCTACCACCCATGAAAAACTGTTTTCTTCTCTCTTCCTGTGAAATCATCCCAGTTGCCTCTGAATAGAGACCCTCACATAAACAGTATTGAAGTATAATTAGTAATGTTCCTTCCTCAGTTTCCTACTTTGTTGTACATCTTCCCCGGTATTCCACCATGCTGAGAATTCCAGGCTGGAAATAGCTGCCCCTCACCCCAGGCTTTGTTTGTTTATTTCATCTTCCTCCTCAGGGGCAGCCAGCAAAACTTCCTAGAAAGTAGAATCCGTTTGAAATCCAGCAAGGTTTTCTCCAGCACTTTGACCTCCCTAATGTCCTTCTAACATGGATTGTTTTAGTGTGGGTGCCTCTGTCCAGGAAACCAGAAGAATAATATTTCTGTTTGAAGAGACCCGGAATCCTAAGTCTTAGTCTGGGAACAACTGAGACTCGGTGATGTGGGGACTACATAGCCAGGCAGTGCCTTAGTGGTTCAAGAAGCTTTTTTTCCCCTTTAACTGGCATATCAGTTGTCACAGCCTTTCTGCATTGTGACATCTTGTGTTCCTTACTAAAATAATTTTTTCATTTGGAATTCTCATCTTCCCATTATTGGTGACAATGCTATCAGAGCCCCCTTCACAACCATCTATTCTGGGCCGTATCCCTACTTCTGTATTGATTCTTGGTGCATTATCTTGACTCCAAGCCACCCAAGAAAGCCAGAATCTGCCCCAAGTCTGTCTCCAGGGTACTTGTGAAAATGCATTTGCCTGTCCTACTTCCTCTTAGCCCTCTTTCTTTGATATGGGTCTCTTTTTTAGGAGACTGTGTGTAAGGCAAAGACTCTTTTTGGAGATATTCTTTGCATTAAAAAAAGTGTATTACCGGTGAGTATCAATTATAATGAGGCATTTTTACTGTGGCTTGATAATGTTGGAACCAAGGAACAGTGGCCTCTGAGCTGAGAGCCTGGCAGCTACATTTTATTAACCCAAGTCAGGGTGCTAAGCTGATTTTCAGGCTTGATTGACAGAACCCTTTCAGCATCAACCGTGGAAAACTATTAGGAGGAAAGAATCCCATCGGGGCATATTCTGCTTGTAATAGTTTTAATGCAGAAGTGCATTTGATCAGCAGCATGCTGAGCTCATATCATTTCCAGAGTGAGTAGCAATGTGGTTCCAGTGTCATTTACCACAACCAATTATGGTACATCCTGACAACATTTAAAACAGAATTAGATTAAGAAAAATGCATTCTCAAGATTGTAGTCTGAGTGGCAAAATACCAGACTTTCGGTGGATCTCATTTTTGCTTCTCTTTCAGTATAAGAACAAGCTGATGAAGAAGGGGGGGAGGGGGAGGAGGAAGAGAAGAAAAGGACACTTTTAGGGGCAAGAGGCTGAGTGAGAGCATAAAAAGCAGGATGCAACTGCTTTCTTCAGTACTCTTCTCTGTTACTGAGGATCTTCTGTTTACAAGAGTCAGACCGTCTTTCTTCAAGCACCAGATTCACTTCCCAAAATCAGAGAATGCATTTCTCAGCCCTCCTCCCCATTCTTATCCTCCACAAAAAGCACCAGTTCTAATGAATAAAAATCCTTGTGATATAATAAAACAGTAGCCATAAAGCCACCACTGTGGTCAGAAGGTTCTACTCCAGTGGCAATATTGACTGATCTATGGACCAACAGGGATTCTTCTAAATATTTCATACCTTAAGAGGATCAGACAGCCAGTGCTATCTTCTGAATTAACCAGCTATGAAGTTCACTGGGAGAGTACACTTGGGGAACCTGTCCAGGAAATCAAATATCAAATACTTTCTTTTTTAAAATAAGTTTACTGAGTTATTAGAATACAAAAGTGATACATTGCAAAAAAAAAAAAATCAGAAAATATAGAGGAAAGCAGTGAAAAATAAGGATATCATCCAGAGATAAGCACTGCTGATACTCTGGCATCACCTACACACATATTTGGCAACAAAAATGTTATTAAATCCCTTCCTTTTCTTCCTCTTTTAAGTTACATTGAAAATACATCCCTGTATATCAAACTTCAATGTGACTAAGAATCACCCGAGGTATTTTAAATACGTGGATGGCTATGCTCCACATCTAGAGATTCTATGTCAATAAGAAAGGCATAAGACCCAGGGATATGCATTTTATCAAGCATTGCAAGTGATACTGATGTTTCTAATTCTCAAACCACACCTTAGGAAGTAAACGTCTTTGCAAATACTTATCTTTCGTCTGATGATTTTCTTAGGATAAAGTTCTAAAAGTGAACTCTTCATTTTGGCAGAGGCTATGCCGTGCAGCATTTCAATAATCTACCTTATTTGTAGTTATCTTGTTGATAAAAAGGGTGGGTCACGAAGACAGGTATATGTCCCAAGGCAGGAAGGACATCTGAGGCATGGGTGAACAGGGTAAGTCTGTCCAAGGGCCCTTAGAATAGGCCTGTCAGGTGTCTGTGGGATGCATAAATCCTCTTCAAGCAACCCCTTGGCTCTTCCATGGAGCCTGGCAATGAGAAAAGTTGAGGAGGGATGGGGCAAAGGCCCATGGTAAGAGCGGATTTAACATCTTGGTTCCTAGAGGGGAGGGTGCCTGCCACTGCCATTTGCATAGGGAGATTGCTGCCAACAAAGAATCACCAAATGAGACAGCTCCATCCCCAAGTTCCACTTGTATAAAATTCACATTTGACTGGCATTCTGTTTCCGAGTTTTCCAAAAGTTTGAGAAATGAGAGTAAGAAAGAATATAGGTATTTCTCCATTTCCGAGATATGAGTGCACTTAAGAAAGTATACATACACTCACTCATGGGAACAAAGGCAGGCACACATTCCCCTACTTACAATCTCCCAACTCCATCCAGAAAGAGATTTCCAACTACAAGCTTCGTGTAAAGAACAATTTTGCCCAAGGTCACAAAAATATGGAAAACAGGTAGGCATCCAATTTCAATCATTATAAGGGAAAAAGGTTGTCTTCCATTTTGGGGGGGTAAATGTTATTGAGTATGATATACATAAAAGAAAGTATTCAAATCACAAGTTTACTAACTCAACATGCTGGTATAAATTAGCATCCAAATCAAGAACAGAAAATACCCCGACTCCAGATATCCCCTGGTGCCAGCTTACAGCCAGTATTCTCCCCAAAGATAGCCACCATCCTCACTAACAGATTTAATTAGTTTGACCTGTTTTTGAGCTTTATATAACTAGTATCATATAGTATATGCCCTCTTACAGAGTTTTTTGGCTAGATTTTATAAATCATTAGTCTAACTCCTTATGTTGTGTACAAACATGTCCCAATATTAAAGCACAAATATCCCCCTAAAAGAAATTTAAAAGTATATACTTTAAATAAGTCAGTGTCCATTTGTGCCATTAACATTGAATGGCTTTATCTAAGTTTTGCCCAGCTGAATCTCTGGGGCACTTGAGCCTGTCCATAGGAAGTAATAATGATCCTAAAAGGTTACTCCGTGGGGTGCATGACAGACACTGTGAGAGGCAGTATAATGCAGTGGAAAAAAGATGAGCTTTGGAACCATATTTAACTAAGTTCAAATAGAATCATCTCCACTTACCAGCCATACTATCTTTATGAAGTCACATAATCTTGCTGGGGCTCAGACACATAATATTTGTTTTTTAGTTACTTCTATGCCTGTAAAATGGGGAAAATATCTCATTAGGTTGTTGTGAAAATTAAATTAAGATCACAAATGTAAAGTACTTGACATATAATAGGTGCTCTATAAATATTCTCTTTCTTCCTTCAAACACCAAACATTGATTATCCATCAGATTTAGCCTGTTGTGTATATACAACGTAAACAAATATATTTTCTTTTCCTTTTTAAAATATATTTCAACAGCAAATATTTGAACTCACTAACTAGCAAGTTTAACATCATTTGAAAACCAGGTTTGTGAATCAAGGGAATTTAAAGTTGTTGACAGTCTTTTTCAGAACTGAGAAATGTCACTGTTCATTCTTTGGAAACCTGTATGGTATCATATCCCTCACATATCCCACCATGCTGGTCTAGCTGTTTATTTATTAATGATTTCCATCATAAAACTATTGTTATCTCAGCTTCCTGTGATGGCCGAAGAGCACACAAAATCATCATTTTCCAACAAGAGCACAACGCATCCAATGTACTTCCCATGACATTATCATTTTATTAATAGCCATCATGGCAATCAATTTACAATGGCCTTTCAGTTAGACATGTGTACGATCGTGTAACGATCATGTGATTTCTGCATTTTCACCAGTATCCATATTAAATCTCTGGCAGATTGCTAATGAGCTGATGTTGGAATGACAGAATAGTCTGTTATCATTTGTCCATTCACAGTTTCCTCACCAGCCCATCTGTGCTCGGAACAGAGCCACCATGGAGCATGCAGGCTGGGACAGTTTCTCCATTTACACCTTTTGCCTTCAGAGGCCTCTGGGAAGCCTGTCCCTAATTAAAGATTTTAACAAACATATTGCCAGCTTTCTAACACTGTTATTAAACTGCTCTCTTTTGTTAGAAAAGGTGCTGTTTGTCAGCAGTTTGTAGATTTAGATATTTAGTGTGTGTTTCTGTAGTCCTGCAAAATATTTGTGTTTTTTAGAACAATTCAATTAGTATGTTATGCATGCATATACCTGCATGCACAATACATATGGTACACATGCTATCAAAATCCCATATAATTATTCACACTCACAAGGACAAAGAGATGTGTGTATTTTTATGGACACACAGACTTCTCTACAGAACAAGGCGGAGCTGTGGAATCCTCTAAGATTGAATACTTTAAGGTTGGAACTGTTATAACAAAATGATCAGACTGAAATCATGGCTCAGATAATTTGGGGTAAAGGTAAAGTATTTTCTACCTGAAATGTTTGTATACTTAGGGTACACTAAAAAGAATCTGACTTCCCTGCTGGAATATACATAGTTAGGAGGAGAGATGTACCCTTGTACTAAACACCTAACTATTAGAATGGTGGTTCTCAATCAGTGTGGGCACGGTTGGGCTGAGTGGGGAAGTGGGACATGGGGCCAACTGAGAAGCTTTCGTGATACCCTCTCCCACCACCACCATCAAATTTGGACATTCTCCATTATACCCAGTTGAGAAATACTGCACTAGTGCTCTGAGGGAATAAGAGAGATGACAGAGATGACAGCTTCCTGCCCAGGAAAAGGCTCTCCAATCATTATCTTGGAAAGGGGTTCATTTTCACTCTTCCTAAAGCTGAGCATAGAGAGGGCTGGCCTTTCTGGTAATAGCCATGTAAGGTTTTCCAGACTAAAGTCACTCCCTAACACTGAGGGGCCTGAGACCTTCACCACCAAGGCAGGAATAATAATTCCCAGGAGTCCAGCTCCTTGAAGATCAGACGGTGACTCTGATGCTTTGGAATGATTTCCACTGGTGACACTGTGACACCGAGGGACTATGAGATGCATCTCCCAGTGTGCAAGTTTTGTGGTCACTTATCATTATGAAATTTTAATGCAGGTTTTGATGCTTTGATTTAATTCTTAAATACAAGCAGGTCTGAGGGAGATGCCACAAATCATAAGGCAAGGTCCTTGTCCTAAAAGAATGTGCATACCAGAGAGCTAATACCCATATATAAAAACCATATGCTCTATCTAATACCACAGGGTAGCCAATGCTAAGAGCCAGATGATTGGCACAAATACAGAGGACTTCAGAGGCTGGAGACATCACTTCTAGAGAGGACAAATTAGGAAGGTGTAGGACCTTGAGAGAGGGAGAGAAGATATTGTGAGCTGGGATAATAGTGGGAAAGGACAGATTTATTTGGGGAACCTTGAATAGGCTGCTTTGGCTAGAGCAGAAGTTTGTGATGGAAAATTGAGAAAGGAAGGTTTCAAAGGTACAGGGTCACTTTGTTAAGGCTAAAGATCTGTATTTTATCTGTGTGGATTTTTTTGTTGTTAGTTAATTGGTTTATTTTTCCCTTTTAGATAAACTTATTTTTATTTGTTTTTTTAACTTAAAAAATTATTTATTTATTTATTTGTGAGAGAGAGAGAGAGAGAGAGAGCAAGCACAAGCAGAGGCTGTGGCAGGCAGAGGGAGAAGCAGACACCCAACTGAGCAAGGAGCCTGATGCAGGACTCAATCCCAGGACCCTGGGATCATGACCTGAGCCAAAATCAAGAGTCTGACGCTTAACCAACTGAGACACCCAGGCACCCCTATTTTGTAATTTCTATATAGATAATAGTATCTTCTGTGAACAAAGACAGTTTTATTTCTTTTTTCCCAATCTATATATCTTTTATTTCCTTTTCTTGTTTTATTTCATTAGCTAGGATTTCTAGTACCAGGGTGAAAATGAGTGATGACGAGGGACATCCTAGTCTTATTCCTGGATCTTCACACAAAACCTTCAAGTTTCTCACCACTAATTATGACGTTAGATTTAGTTTTTTGTGTGTTATTTATCCAGCTGAGGACATTCCCCTTTATTCCTAGTTTTCTGAAAAATTTTTTTTATCATAAAAGAATGTTGAATTTTGTCACATATTTTCTCTGCATCTATTCATCTGATAATTTTTCTTCTTTAGCCTATTGATGTGTTAGGATTATACTGATCATGTAATGTTGAATTGGCCTTGCACACCTGGAATAAGTTTCACTTGGTCCTGGTGCAAAATTATTTTTATACATTGTTGGATTCAATTTGTTATCATTTCACTGAGGATTTTTTTAAACTTTTTAAATTTAAATTCAGTTAATTAACATATAATGTATTATTGGTTTTAGAGATATGGGCCTGTGATTCATCAGTTTTATATAATACCCAGTGCTCATTACATCACATGCTCTCCTTAATGTCCATCACCCAGTTACCCCATCCCTCCACCCCTCCCCCCTCCAGAAACCCTCAGTTTATTTCCTATGATTAAGGGTCTCTTATGGTTTGTCTTCTTCTCTGGTTTTGTCTTGTTTTATTTTTTCTGCTCTTCCCCTATGCTCCTCTGTTTTGTTTCTTAAATTCCACATATCAGTGAGATCATATGATAATTGTCTTTCTCTAACTGACTTATTTCACTTAGCATAAAACCCTCTAGTTCCACCCATGTCATTGCAAATGGCAAGATTTCATTTTTTTGATGGCTACATAATATTCCATTGTGTGTGTGTGTGTGTGTGTGTGTGTGTGTGTGTGTGTATACCATATTTTCTTTATCTATTCATCTGTCAATGGACATCTGGGCTCTTTCCATAGTTTGGCTATTGTGGACATTGCTGCTATAAACATTGGGGTGCAGGTGCCCCTTTGGATCACTACATTTGTATCTTTGGGGTAAATACCCAGTGTGCAATTCCTGGGTCATAGGGTAGCTCTATTTTCAACTTTTTGAGGAACCTCCATACTGTTTTCCAGAGTGGCTGCTCCAGCTTGCATTCCCACCAACAGTGTAGGAGGGTTTCCCTTTCTCCACATCCTCACCAACATCTGTTGTTTCCTGACTTGTTAATTTTAGCCATTCTGACCAGTGTGAGGTGGAATCTCATTGTGGTTTTGATTTGTATTACCCTGATGCCAAGAGATGTGGAGCATTTTTCATGTGTCTGTTGGCCATTTGCATGTCTTCTTTGGAGAAATGTCTGTTCATGTCTTCTGCCCATTTCTTGGATTATTTGTTCTTTGGGTGTTGAGTTTGGTAAGTTCTTTACAGATTTTGGTTACAAGCCCTTTATCCAGTATGTCATTTGCAAATATCTTCTCCCATTCTGTCGGTTGTCTTTTGGTTTTGTAAACTGTTTCCTTTGCTGTGCAGAAGCTTTTTATCTTGATGAAGTCCCAATAGTTCATTTTTGCCTTTGTTTCCCTTGCCTTTGGTGACGTGTCTAGCAAGAAATTCCTGTGGCCGAGGTTGAAGAGGTTTTTGCCTGTGTTCTCTAGAATTTTGATGGATTCCTGTCTCACATTTAGGTCTTTCATCTATTTTGAATCTATTTTTGTGTATGGTGTAGGAAATGGCCCAGTTTCATTCTTCTGCATGTCACTGTCCAATTTTCCTAACACCATTTATTGATGAGACTGTCCTTTTTCCATTGGATATTCTTTCCGGCTTTGTTGAAGATTAGTTGATCATAGAGTTGAGGGTCCATTTCTGAATTTTCTATTTTGTTCCACTGATCTATGTGTCTGTTTTTGTGCCAGTACCATACTGTCTTGATGATTACAGCTTTGAAATAGAGCTTGATCACTGAAGATTTTTGTATCTATGTTCACCAGAGATGTTGGTCTGTCATTTTCCTATAATGTCTTTGTCTGGTTTTGGTATTAGGGTAATGCTGGTCTCTTAGAATGAGTTTGGAAATATCCCCTCTGCTTCTATTTTCTGGAAGAGATTGTAGAGAACTGGTATAAATTTTTTTTAAGGTTTGGTAGAATTCACTAATGAACCCATCGGGGCCCCATGCTTTCTGTTTTGGAAGGTTATTAATTATTAATTCAATTTCCTTAACAGATATATGCAATCCAGATTGTTTATATCATGTTGTGTGAGTTTTGGCAGATTGTATATTTTAAGGAACTGGTCTATTTCATCTAGGTTATAGATTTTTGTAGGCATAGAGTTGTTCATAGTATTCCTTTATTATCCT